AGATTCAGTGGTGGTTCATCGATTACAACCGAATTGGAGATACAAGCTAGGGTTCTTGGAGGAAGAAAGGGGGTTAGGGATAGGAGAGCCAACCGCCACTGTTCTCTAGTTCCAGCCTGCCCTCCCTCTCACATGCTGGCTGCTACTTAACTCTCTCTGTCAGCATGTGATCCAGCCGTGGGCCGGGTAACACCCACTTCCCTTGTGAGCCTAAGTCAGTCTAGGATGGGCCTTGGTCGTTGATGTAGTAGTGTCTGATGTCTACTACACAACCTTCTTCTTGTAGACGTTGTTGGGCCTCCAAGTGCAGAGGTTTGTAGGACAGTAGCAAATTTCCCTCAAGTGGATGACCTAAGGTTTATCAATCCGTGGGAGGCGTAGGATGAAGATGGTCTCTCTCAAGCAACCCTGCAACCAAATAATAAAGAGTCTCTTGTGTCCCCAACACACCCAATACAAATGGTAAATTGTATAGGTGCACTAGTTCAGCGAAGAGATGGTGATACAAGTGCAATATGGATAGTAGATAATGGTTTTTGTAATATGAAAATATAAAAACAGCAAGGTAACTAATGGTAAAAGTGAGCACAAACGGTATTGCAATGCGTTGAAACAAGGCCCATGGTTCATACTTTCACTAGTGCAAATTCTCTCAACAATAATAACATAATTGGATCATATAACTATCCCTCAACATGCAACAAAGAGTCACTCCAAAGTCACTAATAGCGGAGAACAAACGAAGAGATTATTGTAGGGTATGAAAACCACCTCAAAGTTATCCTTTCTGATCGATCTATTCAAGAGTCCATAGTAAAACAATATGAAGCTATTCTTTCCGTTCAATCTATCATAGTGTTCGTACTAGAATAACACCTTAAGACACAAATCAACCGAAACCCTAATGTCACCTAGATACTCCAATGTCACCTCAAGTATTCGTGGGTATGATTATACGATATGCATCACACAATCTTAGATTCATCTATTCAACCAACACAAAGAATTTCAAAGAGTGCCCCAAAGTTTCTACCGAAGATTCAAGACAAAAACGTGTGACAAACCCTATGCATAAGTTCACGAGGTCACGGAACTCGCAAGTTGATCACCAAAACGTACATCAAGTGGATCACATAATATCCCATTGTCACCACAGATAAGCACGTGCAAGACATACATCAAATGTTCTCAAATCTTTAAGGACTCAATCCGATAAGATAACTTCAAAGGGAAAACTCAATCCATCACAAGAGAGTAGAGGGGGAGAAACATCATAAGATCCAACTATAATAGCAAAGCTCGCGATACATCAAGATCGTACCACCTCAAGAACACGAGAGAGAGAGAGAGAGAGATCAAACACATAGCTACTGGTACATACCCTCAGCCCCGAGGGAGAACTACTCCCTCCTCGTCATGGAGAGCACCGGGATGATGAAGATGGCCACCGGAGAGGGATTCCCCCCTCCGGCAGGGTGCCGGAATGGGTCTAGATTGGTTTTCGGTGGTTATGGAGGCTTCTGGCGGCGGAACTCCCGATCTATTCTGTTCCCCGATGTTTCTAGGGTATATGGATATATATAGGCGAAAGAAGTCGGTCAGGGGAGCCACGAGGGGCCCACGAGGTAGGGGCGCGCCCAGGAGGGTAGGGCGCGCCCTCCACCCTCGTGGTGGCCTCGGGACTCTTCTGGCCCAGCTCCGGTACTCCGTGGGCTTCTTCTGGTCCAAAAATGATCTCCGTGAAGTTTCAGGTCAATTGGACTCTGTTTGGTTTTCCTTTTTTGCGATACTCAAAAACAACGAAAAAACAGAAACTGGCACTGGGCTCTAAGTTAATAGGTTAGTCCCAAAAATCATATAAAATAGCATATAAATGCATATAAAACATTTAAGGTTGATAATATAATAGCATGAAACAATCAAAAATTATAGATATGTTGAAGACGTATCGGTGTCTGGTGCTGCCGATGTAGAGGAAGGGGTCGTGACAAAGTGTAGGGCACCAAAGATGGAATGGCCGAAGATCAACAAGCATGGGCTGTATATGTGCCCAGGGGATGTTTTGTGGCGGGAGTCATGGCCCGTGATCACATGGGAAACTTCATCGCGGCCACGTGTTCTAAATATCCAGTGATAGTCAACCCCTATACGATTGAGCTACTAGGACGTAGGGATGCAGTGTTGCTTGCAATGGAAGTGGGGTGGCAAAACATCGTACCAAAACTGTATGCCAATCTCTTCATGATGACTGACGGGGTGATGATTTTCAGTTAGTGGCACGTCATATACTCAGAGAGATTCACCCCTATCTCTCAAGCTTTCAGGGTTTTGAAGTACAGTTTGCATGAAGAGATGCCAATAAAATTGCTCATCGGTGCGCTAAAAGAACGTCTTTTTGTAGTCTCTAGTGCTCTTACTCTTGATGTAGTCCTTGACTTTATGGTTTGCCTTAGTGCAATCTGATATTGTCCACCTAAAGAATGAATAAAATGCCTTTTCTCGGTAAAAAAAAGAGAAAAGTATACTTTTTGTCCCTTAACTTTTGACGAAGTCTAGATTTAGTCCCTCAACTACAAAACCAGACAACCTGCATCCTCAACTATTGAAACCGGACAAGTTTAGTCCCTAATCTCGCTGACCCGGTATCGTTGCTGACTCAGGGTGGTTTTGACCGGTCTATCTCTCTCCTTCCTTCTTCCTTCTCACATTGGCTTACTGAAACATTTCATCAAACACCTTGCACGCATTGCCTGTGCCAACCACGACCAAACAGCGGTGGCTAGCTACTCCCGCTGGTGCTCACGTTGCTCGTGCAGGTGCACTACACAGTGGACGGCTGCTGGCCGACGCCCTGTGCGCCGGCGTGCTGCTTCGCTTAGGCCAAAAGAAAGCCATGGTTGGGGCCAGTGCAGCTCAGTATCAACATCTCCGTCATGCTCTGCTCCATGTTGGTCGCAAACTCGCAACTCGCCAGGGAGCAGTGCAGCTCGGCATCGTCTCAGCTGCTGCGGTCCTCGCCGACGGAGCCCTCGCCGCAGAAACTGGGCGATATGGTTGTTTGGCTCGGCACGCGGCGTCCGAGGAAAATGCCCGTTGTCCACCAGTCATTGTCGCCTGATTTGATCGGGACTCCTTCATCAACCACGTCTCCATCCAGCTCGTTGCACCACACAGCTTCATGCATGGCATTGTGGCACCATGCTATGTGCACAGGTATACACCAATGCACAAATGTGGATGGCTGCTTGCACGTCCTGCGTTGGCCTGCTGGCTCACCAATCCGCGTACACCAACACCGTCCACGAGTCAGAGACGCGTACGCGACGCACCAGCCAAGCAGCATATCTACAGCGGATTCTCCTGGCTTCCTGCATGGTGGCACGCCATGTGCAGCAGGAGTACGCTCTGGCCGATGCGCGTTCGTGACGCCGTGTGCAACAGAATGATCGCTGTCGTCTACACGCCCTGACTTCACGAGCGAGCGAATTGATCGTCCGAGATCACGGGAGTTCACACGCACGCCGGCGCGCCAGCTTGTCCGCCACCAGCCGCACCACGCCCACCACCGTCGCCTTGGAGAGGCTGCACTGGAGCTCCGCGATCCCGCCCAGCATGCCCGTGGTGCTGCCTCGTCGCGCTGCTACTATGCGCCAGATGGAGATGGCGGACACGCTCTTGAGCTTCTCCTCGTCGCCGCCCCTGCACTGGGTTCCACGTGCTCCCAGGCAGTGGAGAAGAGGAAGTCGAGGACGAGCACGAGGTAGCGCCACCGCGCGCGTAGCTTGCCTGCATCCTCCGTGGCCTCGTGGGACACAGTGCATGTGTTCGATGAAATACCTCAATAAACCAATATGAGAAGGAAGAAGATAGGAGAGAGAAATACTGCCACAAGGACGAAGACCGGTCAAAACTATGCTGATACCGGGTTTGCGCAGACAATGGACTGAACTTATCCGGTTTCAAGAGTTTGGGGTGCAAGTTGTCCGGTTTTAGAGTTGAGGGACTAAATCTAGACTTCGCGAGGAATTGAGGGACGAAAAGTATAGTTTTCTCTAAAAAAAAGATCATGCCCAAACTTGAACCACCTCCTAAGAGTAATGGTCATTGAAAACCAACCTATTATGGTGGGACATAGATTTCGTCGTTCTTGCATTGGTGAGGGAAACCCTATTATCGTTCCTGAAACGCCTTTTTCTCGGGAAAAAACATTGCGAACTCATGAAATATGGTCACCCAAATTTCATGAAAAATGGTCACACATATCCATAAGAGCACGCCCCTCGCAAGCTCCCTTTGAGAATTCTTTTCCGCCTCCACGATCTCCCTTCGAGCAACAATTTTCCTCGAGAAAATTATCATATTTATTTTCAATGGAATTCTTATGCAAATTTTGCCACCTCGTGAGATTGTGAGGCATGGCATCCCAATTCGTCTTGTGTCTCTGCCAAAGGGGTCACTCTAATAATTGGGAATCAATCATTTAAAACTGTTGCTGTCAAGAATGAAATCATCGCTGCTAGCGTGCACCAACAGCAACATCGCTATTACCATATCGTTCTCCTTCATCTGCTGATGAAAATGAGTTGCAGAGAATCTGGTCCGCTGCACACGGCCCTCGTGGCATCAATTCAGGCTTTGAGAGCTCAAATCATGTAGATTGTGAGGTGTGAACTGGCCAGGTTAAGCCAGGGCAGAAGGAAAATAGACACGTCGCATACAAGACTTGTAAGGAAGGTAAATAATACAACTTTGAGTCAAGATAACACAGTGAGAGTTTAAAAGAAGAAACTAAAGTTGTACTAAAGCAGCGGCAAGTAATATGGATCGGAGGGAGTCTCAAATTTCAAAGCACTATCTGGCATTTGATGATTTGCTAACCTAATGTAAAATGAATGAATACAACAGCATGTGAACAACTAAAAACAACACAATGTGATTTTCATGATCCTTTTCAACTATATGTCTGTGTAATGAGGAAAAAAAAACATGTGTATGGTCCATCAGCCCCTGTTGGCGAGTAACGAAGCCTCGTCGTCATCTTGCCCTACATCAAGATGCTCCTGGGTTTTGCATTCCTGGAGCGAGGCATCGGCGCTCGGATTCTTGTCGACGGTAAGAGAGGTTAGCTCGACGTTCTCGATTCGTCGAGCCTCAGCACCGTCATACTCAGCCAGCAAATCAGCAGGAAGGATGTTAGAATTCGGGTCACTTCTCGGCACCAAGAATAGCAGTGCCAACGGTAGTAGCCTCATCACATTTCGGATCAAGATCGCGGCCCAAAGGTTTTTGAACTCTGTTCTTGTGATCCTTAACAAATGAAGGAGTAGCCCACCGATCCAAGATGCTGACAGCACGCCAATATTGTCAATGGACATGAGCAGCGCGAAGAATGTGCCCTCGATGCCAGGTGGGCAAAGCTTTGAGCTGAGCACCAAAAGGGGCATCCACTTGATGCGGTTGATCATTTTGGCGACCCCCTCGTCGATCACAGCGAAGTAGTAATCAGGTATCCCAAGTTTTAGATTTAGACGAAGTACCAAAATCAGATCAAGCATTCCTGACAGGCTTAGTAGCAACTGACTTGAACAAAGAACACTGCGAAAAGAGTGGTCCCTAAGAATATTTTGATAAAGTATAACTCCAACAAGAGATCCCACAGAACCAATTGCGAAGATAAACCCAATGAATCCCTGTTAAAGTAGAAAAAATATATTATTTTGGTCATGCGTCAAAGATAAGTAAATGCTATATTTGTATCAGATGTGCCCACACTGCTCCTTTTTTATTTGATGCTTTAGAATAAGAAGCAAACTTTCGTTCGGGAATATATCCAAAACTATCTATATTGCATATAAATATATGTGTTGGATTTTTCTTTAAAAGTAATTCATTGATATCATAATTTTACAAAAACATGCTAATTTGAAGATATGGAACATGTTGAAAAGATATTGTAGGCAAAATAACATCTTGGAAACTATGAAAAGTCTATAACATGAAGTGAAAAGGAAGACATGGAGTCATTTCAGATATGTCAAGTACAGATGAATTTTCCCCCGGAAAAAAAGTATAAAAGAACTTAACTGCAAGCAAATTGTAGTGTCATGAAAAAAGAAGCCAAAGGTCCAAAGAAATTACGAACTACTCCCTCTGTTCCGTAATATATGTCGCTGGAGTAGCTGAACTTCAGCTACCCCAGCGACATATATTACGGTACAGAGGGAGTATATTATAGCACAGAAATGCATAAAGATGTAAGGTGTACCTCAGAGAAAGATGGCCCTGCACTTGGATCTGTGTACCAGTAGAACATTCCTTCTTGAATATCCACACTGAGAGCAAGCGACATGTACATGTAAAAACATGGCCGCCATACTTCAGGGCATTTTAAGGTCCTTAACATTTTTCCACTGGCTTCTACAAACTTCTTATGAGCCTAGTTTGTGGTTTCAGACAGAAAATTTAGTGCATGCAAACAAAGTACTTATATCTGATCTCAAACAACACGAGGAAAACATTCTAACCTGCCCGTATGGGAAGTTGGGGATATGGACATCCTTTAGCAGTATTCCAGCTAAAATTACCAAGGCAGAAGGTATAGTTAAAATGCCAAGGGTTCCCTTGAGAAAGACAAGATTTATCTACTATCAGATTCCAGAAACCAGTACCATCCAAAGTAGTAATAATATATAATTTACTTTCTACATGGCAAAATAGAGGAGCACAAGCTTGCTGTACTTATTCTCTATGCATAACCAGAGTGTATGTGGATAAATACTCTGGATTGGATTTATGAGGAAGTTATCTAGCTCATTTGATTAGAGATGGTCAATGATTGGGAAGTACAGAGCGCTAAAATATCGAGTGTATGAGCTGGTGATGCTCACCTGTGATCCAATTGCATGAACAAGAAAACCACTTATTGAGAATCCAATAAGACCTCCAACAGATGAACAGAAGCCATTTAAGCTCATCATGTCAGCCGCGAGATGAGGGTGTATTAGACTGTTTTCGGCCACACAGGCGTCTATAGTTACATCAGCTATTGCTACACTTGCACTCCCAGACATCAATGCCAATAATGCGAACATCACATGAAGCTTGCTGTGTAGAGAGACTATAAGCATAGCAATCACTCCCATTATGCCTGTGTATTCCTCGGAAAACAGGGAGGGGGCAAGATTAATAAAGAAAATCCATAGCCTGTTACCAAATATAATAGTTACATTTAATCAAGAGAAGGGCTGTAAAAATAACACTGCTACGGGGAATAGCCGATGTATTTTGCTTATGCCGCATTTTTGCTTTGAATATATGCAAGTAAACAGCTCCATTGATTCCTTCCTAATTGTTGGTCACATTTAGCATTTCCCTATATGCAATTCAGTTATTCAGAAGCGAAATATGGATATCCCAATGGCAAAATAAGTTTGTTTCCTGTTGTGGCTCATCATCATTCGGATGCATAGCGCCGTAGTGCATAGCAGCAAAGAAATGGCAGTCCTATCTGAGCCACAGGCGTAATCGACGCCGTCGATTTGGTTCGTCACTGGTCACTAATCACTATACTTCACCAGCACCAAATGTTCAAAAACTACCACAAGTCTACAATTCAGTCCAGAGTTTCAGTTTACAGCTCGTCAGTACACAAGTGTAACCAAAAGCCCAAAACACTATGCTTGCTCACCTGCAAGGACGAAGTAGGGCCGGCGCCGGTAGCCGGCGACGGGGAGCACGTCGGTGAGCAGGCCCCAGACCGGCTTGACCAGCCAGGGGATGGACGTGACGCCGTGGTACACCTGCGCCGCCGACGGCTGCACCTTCTGCACGTCCTTCCAGTAGTAGTCGGAGGCGACGCGCGAGATGCCGCCCCCGAGCCCCTGGCTGATGCCGTAGGTGGCCACCACGCCGAGCACGAAGCTCCAGTGCAGCTCCCTGACCAGCATCCGGAACCACGCCACCGGTGACAGCACCCAGCCCACGGCGCCGCCCGCCCCTGCCTCCTTGGCCGGCGCCGACCCCCGGGCCTCCTCGATGAGCACATTGGCCTCCCCCTTGTCCTCGGGGAAGTCGTGGGGCGGCTGAGGCGACATCTTCTTGGCTTGGCTGCTCCCGCGCGAGATCTCCAATGGGTGTGCCGCCGCTCGGAGATCGCGCGCTAGAGCTTGGATCCCGCACTGCCTCTCGACGAGCAGCTCCGGGCTGGATCTGGAGCCTGGACGCCCAAGAACGGCAGATTCGGCGGGGTTTCTTGAATCCTGAGCGCCGGCGAGACAGCTGAATGATCGGAGCTGGGAGCTAGGTGCATCTCCGTCGATCTAACAAGCTTCTAAAGCCTCAGAAACCCCAAGAAATTCAGCGCTTGGACAAGAACATCAAATCGAAGGCCGCCTGAGCCTTTCAGGGAGGGACAAGCACAAAAATGAGGAAATTGGTGCACAGGGACGGGCAAGAAATTGGATTGCAGCAGAGTGGTGGCCAATTGCTTTCACACAACAAAGAAAAAATACCGAATTGAGCAGCCAGATGCGAATGCTAGTGGCCTGCGAACATCGGAGACTGGTGAGTAAAACAAGAAGAGCTGAGAAAAGAAATGGATCGTGGGCGGAAGCGGAAGTCCTAGAAAATGGAGGAATCCTTTGGGATTTGTGAGGGGGGCGTGAGGATAGCCGTTTGACCTCTTTCTTGTCTTTAATTATTTGATTATGCTTGCTGACTAGCGTTAAGCTAGGTCCCTGTCGCTGTAGGGTGGGGCAGCCAACGAGGGGCCACTTGGCAGTGGGTGTGCATGTTAGGGAGTTAATTGAGCCTGCGTGTTCCTCGGTTTTGCGCGCGATAGGGCGTGGAAAACATATCCAGCGAAACGGGAGATTACGTGCGCCTAATGCACCTTACGATTTTGGACTGTTGGATGAGGAATTGGTGGACAGGATTAAAACAGAAACGAAGATGTGAACAGGCGTTGCAAAACAAACCTTGTGTTTATAATCAAACTCAACCGCACTCCGGTTTTCCACCGTGGTTTCGTCACAGGTGGTTTTATTTGGATGAAATGTGAGGACTTATTGTGAATATGCCGTACTACATGGGTGGACCGCATGTTGATTTTGGTCAAAATACAAGGTATGTTTTGGCAAATGCGGGAGGAACCCATTTCAAGCCAAACCACATCCATCGGCTTTTCATCCGGCGCCCCCCAAAACGCGGGGTGTGTTGGTTGCACTTATTCTCATGTGTAACTGCACATGTTCTCAATAGACTATGGTACTCCATCAATGGCTTATTAAGGAAGGACTCACCTAGTTCTTCACTGTTGGCAACCTACCGCACGCCTACTACACATGGAAGGCAACTATAGGAAGAAAGCACGACTACTAGATGAGGATGGCGGGCGTTGGTGAGAAGTTCCAAAATGGCATTAACAATAATTGCCCTTAAGGAAAATCCCAACCTAGACCTGGATCTAATCTATACTATCTACAACTGAGATCTGATCTCCTCATCCATCCCCACTTCGAGCAGCGAGACCACCAAAGAAAAGAGGGACGAAGTAGGGGTGTGGGAGTCGACTCTCAACAGGGATAGAAGGGAAAAAGAGGGTACTCTGTGATATGACTTACACAATGAGTTTGCAAACAACAAATAATTAGGCTCTCCTCGGGGAACGCGGTGAAGGTTCCTCGGGCATGCGTCATCCCCACACAGAAAAGATGCAACATTTTATTTTTGATAGGGATGCCACATTTTTTTCCAATGAGTTACAAATTGAAGTTGGTGGTGATGGTATGAGTTCACTCCCTTACTCCATCCCTGTCTCCATCATCCATTCATGACTCATCAAACCTAACTATAGAGACTTGATCTTCATAGTCGTCTCTACGTATAGCTCAATCAAATCAACAAGCCATGACATCACTTGTGTTCGCAATTGTTGTACTGTAATAATAACCAATTAGTTAATCCATCAATTGATTTTTGTCTGACCACCGCACCTCCCAAATACCGATCCTTTGGTTGTCGCCCCTCCGCAACCTCGTCCTGCTAGCGCCCCTTCTCCCTAATATCCATCATCTCCATTCTCAAATTTCAAAATCCGTCCATTGCTCCACTGCTTCAGATCTTACAATGGTGCTCCCATGATTGCTGTAGTTACCCAAGTGGAGTGTTGCCTGTCTGGTTGAGTGTTTTCTCAGCCACGCTGTAAGGGCATATTTATCCCTTAGTTGTTTTGGTGATTGATGACAATGCTTTTGTGGACTAATCGTGTGCATTGAGTGTTTCAGACTTTTTATCACTAGGCACAAGACGATTTGGTGCCCCTCAAAGACTATTGAAGACGGCGTTTCTCTACATTTCTTTTCGGTGGATTTGAGTCGTAGGAAAGCCATACTATTAAGAGGGGGTCCGCTTTGGAAAGGTTTGGGTGGAATCATCACGTACAGGTCTACTCCTTTGCACCGCCTTTCCTTTGGCACTTTGGAGCATCCTCGTCTTTTCATGTCTATGCAAAATGTCGTGTTTGCTGAACAGGGGCATGCGGTAGTACTGCTCCTAGGAGCGGTAGTACCGCAGGCCCTTGCGGTAGTACTGGCCTCTGGTGCGGTAGTACCGCAAGTGCCCACGGTAGTACCTCTTCCTTGGAGCGGTAGTACTGCGGCCTCAGGCCAGGCACTACCACTATTACGGTAGTAGGGGCGGATGTAATTTTTTACATCCGCGCCCTATGCGGTAGTGCCGCGCCAGGTGCGTGGTAGTACCGTGCGCTCTGGCCAGGCTCAGAAGCTTGCGCGGCAGTAGGAGCGGATGTAATTTTTTACATCCGCACCTCGCGCGGTAATACCGCTCATGGCTTGCTGTACTACCGTGTTGGATTTTTGCATAGATCCCAACTCGGCGGAAGTTACCACAGATGTATTTTTATATGTCCGTGCCTTTCCAAAATCTGGACTATTTCTGCCTTGCGGTAGTACCGCAAGGGGGAATGGTAGTACCGCACCAGCGGTTCTACCGCCCTCTGCTTCATTGCATCTGGGCTATTCTGTTTTCTGCTGCTCGGGCGGTAGTACCGTGTTTCCTTGCGATAGTACCGCGTTCCCGGTGCGGTAGTACCGTGCTACGCATGCTGAGTTGGTGGATAATGGTTGGATTTGTTCTTCCACTATGTAAGGGGTGTCTTCTTCTCCGAGTTAACTATCTCTTCCACCCCCAAGCTCCATTGTTGCTCCAAGCTCCATTTTAGCCCGATCTTTCTCCCTAGCCAATCAAACTTGTTGATTCTCTAGGGATTGGTTGAGAAGGCCTAGATCTACACTTCCACCAAGAGAAATTTGATTCCCCCCACTCATCCCTTACGGATCTTGTTACTCTTGGGTGTTTGAGCACCCTAGATAGTTGAGGTCACCACGGAGCCATATTCCATTGTGGTGAAGCTTTGTGGTATCGTTGGGAGCCTCCAATTAAGTTGTGGAGATATCCCCAACCTTGTTTGTAAAGGTCTAGTCGCCACCTCCAAGGGCACCAATAGTGGAATCACGGCATATCGCATTGTGTGAGGGCATGAGGAAAATACGGTGGCCCTAGTGGCTTCTTGGGGAGCATTGTGCCTCCACACCTCTCCAACGGAGACGTACTTCCCCTCAAAAGGAAGGAACTTCGGTAACACATACTCGTCTTCACCGGCTCCACTCTTGGTTATCTCGTGCCTTTACTTGTGCAAGCTTATTTGTGTTAATTCCCTTGCTTGCTTGTGTACTTGTTCTTGTTGCATCATATAGGTTGCTCACCTAGTTGCATATCTAGACAACCTACTTTGATGCAAAGTTTAAATTGGTAAGAAAGCTAAAATTGTTAGTTGCCTATTCACCCCCTCTAGTCAACTATATCAATCCTTTCAATTGGTATTAGATCATTGTCTCTTTCTTAAGGACTTTACCGTCCGAAGAGTATGGTTGACACCGTAGACGGTGAGGAGGAGCACTCCGATGCGAATCCGATCTCGTCTACGGCCGATGGGGGAACCACGGTCTCTAGTGAGGAATTCAATGTGGCTTTGGACACATTGAAAACCTCCATGACGACCGAGGTTGAAAGCATGTTTAATAAATTCTTAGAAGGGCCTAAGCTATCTACCGCGCCGGTGAAAGTGGGTGATCCCACTAACAAGGTGACGGATGCTAACTCCGATAAGGGGGAAGCTACTAGTGAAAAGGTTCCTTCTTCTAGTGGTAAAATTGGCAACGACATCTTTGCCCATGTGGAACATCCACTTACTTATGGTGGACCGATTCCTTCCACTCATTTGAATCATGTCGGTCCTCCCCTTAAGATTGTAAAAAATGAGGACTTTGATTCTTGGGTTTATCGCTTTAAGCGTCATTTGAACCATGTTAATACTAACCTTTGGAGAATCATTGAAGAAGGTTTTTATCCGCATGACCAAAACAACTTCACCCCTAGAGAAGCCGCGGACAATCAATTCAATGAGAATGCTCTCTTCATCATCCAAGATGCAATTCCACCCGAAGATCTTGCTCACCTCTGGCCATTCACCATGGCCAAGGATGCATGGCGCCATGTTGTGTCCCTCTACCGGGGAAGCGCAAGCATTCAACGCTCCAACTATGAAGTGGTGCAAGATGAAGCTGATGAGTTTGCAATGAAAGAAGATGAAGAACCCCGTGAGCTCTATCGGAGATTAACTACTCTCGAGGTCTCACTCCGAGATCATGGGAGCAAGGATACGGATGACAATTGGATCAAGCGCAAATTCCTCAAGGCCATGATGCCTTACCACAAGGCCATGTCCTCCGTCATTCGTCAAAGGCTGGACTTCCACACCTTGTCCTCAAGTGAAGTGCTGGATGAGTTTGTAGCTATGAGCATCTTGGACAAGACCGCCGACAATGCGGTGTTACGCTCTCAAAGAGCAAAGAAGCCCAACCTTTCCTTGAAGGCCAAGGTTAGTGTGGAAGAAGAGGAAGAAGAGGAGAGCAATCCCAGAGATACAAAGTATGCTTATCATGAACACATGGCTCTTACTTCAAGGCAATTTTGGAGTAAGAAGAACACAAGGCCCAACTTCAACAAGAACAAC